TTTGCTGCAATTCCGAGTGGAACTCTATTCTTTTCTTGTGAGAAACAATCGCAGTTGGCACGCTTGAATGTGGCCAAAATATCACTGAGTGCTTGCGTACCATGCAGCCATAGTTCAATGATGGGATATAGGATTTGGTGGTTTGTGGATCAGAAATCCTGAGTAGAATTAGCCAGTAAAAGCTATGTTCCGTAGAATTTCACCGAGTTACTTATCAGACACGCAATGAAATCTGCGGACCCCGAGAAGCTTTTCACACCCACTAAATATACTTGCTGGTCTGCCCGAAAGATGATGATTGCGCCCGCAGGATTTTCATGTGCTTCTCATTAAAAAACTGAGTGTTTTATCACATCGCAAACGACGCAAGTACGGAATGCCGCTCGATCACTTGACAGTGAAAACGAAACGAATAAATAGCCCTTTCAAATAGGTGGGCAACGTATACTTGCTGCAAAACCTCATGTGGAACTATGACAATATTTTAAGTACTCAAAACCAGTATATGGGAAATGAAACTATTTTGTAGCATAGAAATAAGTAGAATGAATTAGAAGTATAAACGAATAGAATGGTCTGTGCTAAAATTTTCGTCATTTTGTTCCTCATAACAGTTAGTGGTAAAAAGATAAGCCCTAGAAGGGGTACGACCGTGGAGTAAGAAACGTTGGCTCGATCTAAAAAGCGAGATGCCCGGGTAGAAATGCATGTATCTAAAAAGGTGTGGCTGACTGCAATGCAAGCCTGTGTAGAGTTAAGCTAACATTTTCGCCAGATAACACCACTTCATACGTAAAATAAAAAATTAGTGTTACATCATATTAAACACCCCCCCCCCCCCCCCCCGAAATCCATCTCTCGTCCAAGATTTGCTTCCAACGCAACACAAAGTTTGTCGTAGGACTCCACTGAGGGAACATTTAGTGCATTTTAAAGAAGTTTTTGTAATGAGTAAAAGACAAACGGTCGAAAGTGAATGACTCAACACCATCATTTTGGCCTTGTTTTGGCCTCGTTAAGCACATGTAATCCTGTAACGTACATAGGAGATATTAGTTGATATGCTGAACATCCACCTGACAGAATGTCGAGGCATCACTTCGGATACATACCAAGTTGCACAACTCGGACTGTAGAGTTCAGAGTGCCTCAGCGTCGCATCGTGTAGAGGGTGATGTGAATGAATAGAGTACTTACCAACCTAGAATTCCCACAAGACTGTAAATCTCTGAGCTTGTGCACTGCGCTGAAACATTTGAATGGTGTTTGGGAACTTGATGAGTTCTGAGTGGGATATTGATGATTATGCTGCCATCCATTAGGCGACCTACCAATGTTGGTATAATGCGCGGCTTGCAGACATAGCGAATATTATCCTCTATCCGAGCATCAACTGACAGCTTTAGGCTAAGTTTAGATATCAGATCACCACCGTCTTCTCATCTCAGGACATCTAACTTGAGTGAATGATATTGTGTGAGCTCAATTAATTACAGGGTACTCTGTACTTTTAAGCTCAGACGCACAGACCCATGGGAATAAGGCACTTAGTCTTTATTTAGCGATTTCCTGGTCATACTGTTAGGACTAGAAATGCACACAACAAGTACGAGAGGCAAATAATAATACCTTTGTGCAAAGGCTGCGATCCTGTTCAATGTGACCTAGCTGGCATTCGTTTTTCGAAGAATAACGTGCCATGTAGTAAGCTACGATTCGGGGGATGACATTAGGACTCACGTTAATATGGGTGAGGTTTTTACCTGGGCTTGACATCTTGTTCTTATTTATCAGTTATATCGTGTTCTCATTCCTGCGTATCGTTCACCAGTGAACAAAACGCTTGAGGTACAATGATTGTCGAACTCGCCAAGCGAAGTCGGCGTTTTTAAATTTTCTCCTCAGAAATATCAACATACGACTAACTGGGATAGAGTAGAACTAGTGTGGCCAAGTTGTATCTTGGGAAGTAACGGTAAAAAATTTCATGCGGTGCGCATTTATTCGGATGCTTGACGATAACTGATAACTTAGAAACCTAAAAGGGGGCTTACTCATACCCACCATATCGCCTGAAGGCCACATCAAATTTATGTCGCTTTTTTGGTTTATGTATTCACATTACATATAAGAAGAAAGTACGATGATATACTCCGAATATGAAGGCAACTGGGCTGACGAGAAGATTACAGCAATGAAAACAACGGGCACGTGGAACTACAGGTCTTGTTAATTTTTGAACGGCTAGAGGGGTTACAAGTGTTGAGATTACTTTGGCACCTCCTAGGTAGTTGTAGATAAAATGCCCACCGAATGAAAGATTCGTCTAGAAACATTGGATTGAGAGTGAATATTAGTTTCATACCTTCGCTGTTTAACTGAGAATATTTTTTGCGGTGGGGACGTCTTCACCCGCAATCCATATCTCGCCAGATAGTGGGCATTTCTCCCCGAGATTCAGACATCTGTTTGGACTACTCATCGTTAGAAAATTGCCTCATGGAAGAATCTGGGAGTCGTTGTGTTGCAGTGCCCATCTAATATAGAATCAACTCGGTCGCGAATGTAAAAGGGTTTTATCTACCTTCCAATCTACCATAATAGCGGCACCTCGTTCATCTGGTTGGTCGTGTTATTGGTTGCACATCCATCAACCAGGACTTCTATACTTCTACACTACTTTATTTGGGTTTTTCAGTCGATAGGCTGGATTGTCCTTTCACATGAGTGTCTCTAAATTTTCGTCGGCTCATCTTACGTTCAGTTCTCAGTCGACCAGTCTTCTTTCGTTAGACAAGACAGACCGTGCCACATTCATACGCGCCAATGAAGGACGCCTAATTATCGATTTTCTCCTTGCTACGACCTCTTAACCTAAGGCTTTGCCCCGGATTAGCTTCCAGCGACAGAGCAGATGTGCACTCGGATAACATTGACATTTTGCAGGTCAGCTGTTTCCAAGCCACGTTCATCTGATACCGGCATGTCATTATGCACTTAATCAAATAAGCAACGATACCATTTGTGGATTCAGCCATGTGGAACTGCTAGTTCGAACTAAGCATTTGTGGCAGTCGATATGGGATGTCTGGTCATCACTGTTTGTGCTTGAAACTCGCCTACTCGAACGGAATCAATGGTTGGAGTGGTGGATACACTGTTGCTTGTACACTCCGGAACTAAGGAAGTCTGACTTCAGAATTGAACCCAGTGATTATTTTAGGAGGCTTGCTGGGTGTGATTGATAGAGTTCTGTTTTTGTATTTTCTCAGCTCCAAGGCAGTTCTGTTATCGAGATGTTCTGCGGGAAATTTCCACAAAACATCTCTCTTTGGGCTGCTGTGAAACCGTCAACCGCCGTTAAAAATGTGCGACACTTTTGCGATAAGTGGATCATTTACGCTTTCATACTAGCTGTGTCAGACCGGCATAAAGTTAATGTTGTGAATAATTACCTCAAAAAGAACGTGAATTTCCTCTCAGGACGTCGTTTTCTTTCTCCCTGAACGTTGCGAGGTAATGCGAGAGTTTCCGTACAGTTTACTTTATTTTGGTAGTATGCTTCCTCTTGTTTATCGTTTTTGACACCTGCCCAGGGGAAAAATATTTCAGAAGTGTAGAACAAAATGACAACTGAAGAATAGACATTTTTTATTGGGACGTGATTGACATCTATGGCATCAGGTTGTCAATTGCATATGCTTACTTGTACCCTCAGTCGCAAGTTGCCGCATCAGGAAGCATTCCGAAAGCCAGGTAAAAACTGTTTGAAATGAGCACCACGTCTGACGTTATTCAGTCGCTGAGATTTAATAGAATATTATGATTTCCAAGCAAAGCGGTTACATCCTATAGGGTTGTTGAGCTAACTGAACTACCGAGAATGGAGATTTAACACTCATTCCACTCACGCATCAGCCAACGAANGATTCAGCCATGTGGAACTGCTAGTTCGACCTAAGACCTTGTGGCAGTCGATATGGGATGCCTGGTCATCACTGTTTGTGCTTGAAAGTCACCTACTCGAACGGACTCAATGGTTGGAGTGGTGGATACACTGTTGCCTGTACACTCCAGAACTAAGGAAGTCTGACTTCAGTGATTATTTTAGGAGGCTTGCTGGGTGTGATTGATAGAGTTCTGTTTTTGTATTTTCTCAGCTCCAAGGCAGTTCTGTTATCGAGATGTTCTGCGGGAAATTTCCACAAAACATCTCTCTTTGGGCTGCTGTGAAACCGTCAACCGCCGTTAAAAATGTGCGACACTTTTGCGATAAGTGGATCATTTACGCTTTCATACTAGCTGTGTCAGATCGGCATAAAGTTAATGTTGTGAATAATTACCTCACAAGGAACGTGAATTTCCCCTCAGGACGTCGTTTTCTTTTTCCCCCAACGTTGCCAGATAATGCGAGAGTTCGCTTTATTTTGGTAGTGTGCTTCCTCTTGTTTATCGTTTTTGACACCTGACCCAGGGAAAAATACTTCAGAAGTGTAGAACAAAATGACAACTGAAGAATAGACATTTTTTATTGGGACGTGATTGACATCTATGGCATCAGGTTGTCAATTGCATATGCTTACTTGTACCCTCAGTCGCAAGTTGCCGCATCAGGAAGCATTCCGAAAGCCAGGTAAAAACTGTTTGAAATGAGCACCACGTCTGACGTTATTCAGTCGCTGAGATTTAATAGAATATTATGATTTCCAAGCAAAGCGGTTAGATCCTATAGGGTTGTTGAGCAAACTGAACTACCGAGAATGGAGAATTTAGTAGATTTAACACTCATTCCACTCACGCATCAGCCAACGAAAGAATAAGTGTCTCCTGAATCTGTGTTCCACATCTTATCATCAGACGACAAAGAATCCAGAAACGAAAAACGATAACATACTATTCTAACATTTAACCTAATTGAAAGCCTTCGGTGATAAATGTACCAACTTAGAATGCTCGAATAATTTTCTGAGCCACCATTGCATTTAATTTAGGTTTACAGTAATGTACTACTCATAAGGTTGCTGAAAATCCGTCGACAGCCCACGACCGGTTTCGCCCTTCTTGGGGCTCATCAGGTAGGTGTAGTCCCCGGGTTTCCGTCAACCTTATGTTCTACCTGAAACCAAATTGCACGAAATTAGCGAATAGACACTCATTTGCAAACGAATTTGGTTTTTCGAGAGACTCACCTGGAACCCAGCTGAATCTCTCGTTTGTGATGTTCTCAGTTGCAGTGTATATTCGCTAAGGTTTGCAGTAGTTTTTGAAGGTATGCTCCTTGAATACGGCACCAAAGAAGCTATCTCGTCCAAGAGTTGTATTAGGAAGAGTAAATACAATTGGTGCTTGATCATTCATTGAATTGGGGATTCTTCAAATTATGCACTAGTTTCATCACTGTCTGCTTACATCTGTTCACATGTACTGTTGCGGGATACGTGGTAACTGGCAGGACAAATATTCATAGAATCAGCACAGCATGCCTTCTAGGAAATGACTTTTAGCACATAGTATTGCCGTTTTCATTTTCGCTTCCACGCTGTTCATGCAGCGGAGATTTATGTTTTATTCTTGAAATATCACGAAAGTTTGATCGATATTTGGTTACCGGTTATTCAGGACAACTACAGATGTTGATTCATCGCTGTAAACTGTCAGTGAGTCACTGGGGTTTGTGCTGTGAAGAAATCAGTTTCTGCGCTCAGCCACCTAAAAAGCATACAGAAAGTTGTTGTGCACTATGTAAAAACTGAAAACGGGACCCATGCCGATCTCAGAACTTCCGTATGGGACACTATGTACTCAGACATGAAGAAATCGGCTACCTCTGTGCTTGATTTCGGTTAATACCAGTCAAGTTTTTAAGCTAGGATTTTAACGGATGTTTACGACACTACAAAATAAAACACCCCCAATCGTACTATAGAATAATATGTGCATTCGGCGTTTACAGCAGACCTGACTGTGACGCCGTTCCGAACGATGTGGTTTTGTTCTTCGTCCTTTTTCTGCACGTACAAGTGGCTGACTGGTGGAACCATGTGGATCTAAGCGATCTCGCCTCATTCTGTCTGCCGTACGGAAACATGCTTAAACAAGCGTGGGACCAAACTGTTGTATATATGGGACAATGTTTATTCCGGTTGTGTAGGTCGTTTGTGTTCCGTGCTCGTTGCAACAATTTGGCAAAACTTGTTCATTTCTTTTTATATCCATCGCATGCACAGATCGAAATCATGCTGATGACATGGTTTACGTACGTTACGTTAACGTACGTTACGTACGTTAAACACTACCCTCCAGGGAATACTTCGAGTGCCATCGAAAGCATATGGCGCAAAGTGTTATCTAAAGAAGTTTAGTCTTTTGCACATTAGATGTGTGATGTTCGTTACCGCATCAGACAGCGCTGTTATTGGTTCATCGGATCAACAACTCCATTTCCCCACAACTTACCAGTTGAGATTTCGGTCGAGTTCCCGGACGTCTCATTTGCAAGGACACTCGTTAGCCATATGACACTGTTTCTGGAGCTTTTCTGCACTTATTGCTTAGCCTGCTTCGGTTTGTGCGTTAGTTCTGAGTGGATCTTCTGATATTCGCAGAGAGCGGTTTCTGGCACCGAATTTTGGAAGTGCGACCAATGACAGCTGGAAGTTTGTCGTGTTGACCAAATTACTTAGACTTCGTAAGTAATATACAGTAATTCAGTTACCGGCGGCAAATGGCCTTGGAACCGAGGCACCGTTGGCTCTTGCCGCCTCGGAAACCGACCAAGTTTTTGGTTTTCGAGGAGTCGAATGCTGCACTCATTGAGTAAACGTTGAATATGACAACTATTTAAGAGGTCTTTTCATGATGCAGTAGATGCGAAATAAAGACCATGATTCGACTCTGACTTAGCGATTTTCTCCTTGATTGGGAACAAGGCAATAATCAATTGATGTTTGTTCTTCGTATAGATCTGGGGTTCTTCAAGTAGTGCAGATTCATCGGAATTTCGGGGTTTCCGATACTGGAAGGGATGATTTGATTTCCTGTTTTGATTGTACAGTTTAGCCTTGTGTCTGCTTCTATTACTCAGCTATTAACAGGTCGCCCGACGAAATACAAAAGTTAGAAGGTGGAATTTTGACTTCCAGTTCTGATATGTTTAATGATAAGGCTTGGGTTTTCTGGAATGTTAATGCCATGAAAAATTGTAAACCGGTTCGTCTTCATTGGTAGATGACCACTCAGAAAACAAGATTGAAGTGTATTGGGTTTTCCTATATATTATATATATATATACATATATAATATCCCACTCTGTTGGAACTCCATTCAACAACTTCTACAGAGACACTTCATCAGCGCTAACTTAGCGTTCCACTGTGGGCAGGTCGTATAGCTAGTTACTCAATTAGAAAGTGTTCCATGCTATATCCAGTGTAGGCAGTTATACTTCAGTTCCAAATCTTGCAACGGAATTTTCCCGACTGAATACGGTTTTTGGTCCAGCTTCGAGGATCAGAAAACAATGAATATCCATCCAAATGTTTGAATAACGCAGTAGACTGGATTTCTTGTCCCTAACCCATCCGTGAACCTAACGCCTAATAGTTACATACACAGATTGCAAAGATCGCCACAGTAATGGACAGTCTTGAAGAATGAATCTGTGGAACCTTGTTATGTTCTCATTACTGTACGGTAGCCAAACCTGGGTACTGAACAAATGACATTATCGAGTACTTAACTTATGTCAGTTTTAGTGTAAGCACAAAAGGTTTCCGATCAAGTGAACAGCTGGAATCCCGACTACCGAAAATATCCTGCCAGCAAGCACTAATAGAGTCATTTTTAGTCTGGCATGAAGCTATCCGCACTAGTTAGGTTACCTGAGACTAATCACCAAAACTCGAATCCAAACCTGGTTGCAAGAACGGGGAGGGGATTCAATCAGGTTTGAAAAAACTAAGTCTGTGGCCAACAGAGGATCATGGAGAAAGTTTATTCACGTATTTCCCACGCACCACAGTGATGAAAAACCATATGCCATTGGGATGGCACTCAATCGCTCCAAAGGAACTTCCACCATATGGATGTTTACAACATACGGAAGCATGTGTCTAAGTAGGGTCGACCTTGAGGTCACCAGCATAATCTGCTCTACTTAAGTAACACATTAATTCTAGTGCTCCCCTTTTTGCAACGAGTACTCCCTAAATTAATTCTATCCCAGACATACCATATAGCTAATGGAATACCGTCAAATCATCCACAGTCATCCGAACAGCGAATTTATTGAAGACCCCGTGAAAAATTCGCACTGTACCGTACTGGAAAAGGTGTGGTAATATTTAACCTGAATCTGAAGGAATGAAAGGGTAACACTAGTACCTGACATACGTTCCAAGGAGATAGCACTGGCTTGTAGGTCATAGTTACAACATACTGATGAACGAATGGGAAGCGATTAATGGGCGTGATGCTAGACCATTTTGGCCAAACCATTTAAGCCTTTTTTCCGGGAAACAATCATTGGGTAGAGCATGAGAATAATGAGCGTCTATAAGTTTTTCGTGCTATATTTATATGCAGAATATATGCAAATATATGTACACATACAAATATGCTATTCTAAGAAACCCCATATTTTCTGCTTGTGTCATGCAGTTGTTTTAATATTGCTGTTTTGACAACACAGCTGTCTGATCTAAGTAGTCCCTTGTGTAACCAGGTATGATAGAGTGCGGATGGCGCGTGTTCATTCATATAAAAAAATGGCCAGATACACTGGTCGTCTCGGTGAATAAAAAAATTACCGTATCTTTGTTCCATAAGTTAGATACTCCTAGTGTTCTGTCTAGGGGAGCGAAAATTAGCGGTAGGCACAATCTCTGAATCTCTATCTTGCAGTATAAAATATAGGCATCACACGAACTGCATCTACTCGGACGTGGCTGTAGTTCAAGGTTACAGAGCACAAGCAAACAGTTTCAGGTACTTCAACTGCACAGTTATTTCCAAAGCAGCTCAATGACCTAATCATTGAGAGAGATCAGAGAACCACAATCGATCGTTTCGAGAAACAGTTTCTGGCTAACCCAGCTTAACTGTAACCCCAGTAGCTTTTCCTACATTAGTCGTCATGGGCCTGTTTTATTATCTCTTGGAATTGTGACCACATACTTTTGGCATTTCAAAAACATACAATAAGCATCCGCCACACCTTCCAGCCCGTTAGGTCACCATGTTTAACTGTGTTTATGATGTATCACTCTCACATTTATGTTCGTACCACCTTTGGTTCAGACGTGCTAGGTTGTTGTTTTCTGAGCACTGCCATTCACAGACCGCATATGTTGTGCCCATTGGTTCTCATCTAAATCTAGACGCGAAGATATCCAGCACATCCCTTCTTTTTTATTCATTCTCTTTATTTCCTTCAGCAAACGGAGATCCAACTTTCCCTTTCTAGTAAGCAGTGTCACATAAAGACCAGGAAAATTGGCTTCGGGTGTGAAGCAACTGGTAGTATCAAAGCCGAAGCGCATAAGGGGGGGGG